AACATGGGCCATAGGCGCTGTTGGAGTGAAGTTCTGTCAGTGCTTCTGCAAAACATTCATTCGTCACTGGGGAGCTTTCCGGCTCGAGATTATACATAACATGTGGGTTGCTTGCATATGTACACATATCTCTGCGGAAGGCTTGACTCACTTGGTGGCCTGGATGGGTTTGGGTGGATTGTTCTCGCTACACGCAGCATTTCTCATCCGGCATTATGCCGTATGCTTCTGACCATGTTTTCTTTTCCGCCTGACTTGTTGAGACACCCATCAGATCATGATTCGAGAACGTATGCTATGTGCTTCTTTATGTAAACTTTTCATCGCTATCCTTCAAATTTTGGATTGCGGCAGGATTTAGTGTGAAACGTGTGCTCTTCACATGCATTTCTCACCCGGAATGCATGTAATTTAATTTATCCAACGAGACAAATTTATTTAAAATGTCTGACATCGTTGCACATGACAAATTGCTGTTTATGAAACGTTTTTCATCGAGAGTGGTTGCCAATCTCTTTTTGGAACTCCGCCTTTGGGTCAAGTTGTGATGCCATTTACTCGCAATTTTCCAGTTCAATTTCATTCAGGATTCGAAGTAATGTTTTATAATTTACCATTTAACATTTTCAAACTATCCAAGTTCAATTTTATCTGTCGCCATTAAATCACATGATGGATTTTAAGTGCTTTCAGCCACACAATTTTCCGACGCAAAATGTGAGCAAAGAAGTGTCAAACACAATGATTTTGTACTTATGCGGATTGTCTGTTAAAGTCAGCATATTTTCATATATACTTTGTAAAGACCACATGCCCGAAATATCTTTAAGTTAATTTTCCCAAACTCACCTAATTACAAGTACAGCTGTTGGTGAAAGATGATCTGAATGAATTTGCTGCTTCGAGCAAAAACACCTCCGTCAGAAAGATATGATGGAGACATCGCAATAAAAGGCAGTATCTCTCCTTTGTCAGGTAACATTTCAGAAAGTGCCTTTCGCAAATGCTATAATGAATTACTTTGCATATCATATTTATGACTTATCACAATGAAAACTTGGCATTTCTCGAGCCAAATTAGTGTAACATGATATTTCTTGGCAGACGTACCGCTTGATATCTCGTGCAGTGAAAGAAAAATACGGTCCATTTGCCTTCAAACTATTGCTTCAGCAGCAAACTTGGCTGAAGTCAAATGATATCTGAGTTCCCCTCGGCATAATTATTCAATTAATGAATCTCGCAATTTCAGAGAGAAATGTTCATTTATCCTCATTCTGAAGGCATCCAGTTTAATTTAGTATTCACTATGTAATTTTGGAAAACTGATTGAATAGTTGAGAACAAAGAAGCATCAGGAGGCTGATGTGATATGAAAGACTTGATTAATTACTGTCCCTTTGTCGGGAAAGATGAACTTTTGATTATTCCACATGAAATTTTCTCCAAAGTCTTCGTCGAAGGAAAAGGTATTTCTCAACAAGAAAGTCTAAAATGCCAACAAAAGAGATTCTTTATCTTGCAAATGGGATTTTTTTCCCCTTCTAAAGCCCCTTCTGGATCCTCAATCTTACATACATGTCAGACTACACTGAAAGTTTGATTGAAAGTGTTCCACACAGATTCTTTAAGATCTTGAGAAGAGTTTCTGAACATTTTTAGCCTGCTCCAGACTACAGCAAATCCTCCATCACTCTAACGATTTCGCGATTTGTAAGAGATAATCATGTTTAATCTACAAAGTGTACGTAAGTTTGCAATTACTCAGTACTCGAGAATGTATGCTCAGGGCGGAAGAGAGTGCACTTACCCAATTTGCCGAATGCCTCCAATTACACCACCGACTATCCCACATGAATTTTCCACCGCACTGACGCATATATACGGTGCATAACTATGTAGAAAGTGTCACGAGAAGAAATTGAAGATTGAATTATGAATATATACAGTTGCTTCGGTATTCTCTTCTATTTTCCCGAGGGCACGGAAATTTTCTTCTGTGTCCTTCTTGGGAATTCCTACAGGAGCTTTCTTAAAAATATTCGCGAGTAAATTTCTCGTCCACGAACTCCATATTTATACATGTTGCTTGGAATATTGCATAGTGGAGAATGCGCTGCAAGAAAGAAATTCTGAGATGTATAATTTAGCCATTTATTCACCTCAGTGTTGCGGAATGAATTGTAATGCCTGGAAAAAATAGAAGAAAAACTCTAGATTGCAATTTTTCTCGTTTTGAATCTTTTATTTTAAAATGCAAATGCGATTTTATATGGCATTTAAAATATGATTCCCTGATATTCTTGACTGAAGAAGAAAAAAAAACTCTTCTGATGGAGAAGAAAAATTGACTTCAACGTGGAAATTCGCGGCGCATTATTTCATCTGTTCTCACTTGACTATTTCTCACTCTCACTTCGCTTTCTCATTGCTGATGCTCTTTGGATGTTTTAATACCTGTCAATGCATTACTTTAGCTATTCTATAAATATTTGGACATCTTCGAGTGAAGCTGCGGTGAAAATGTACTTTGAAGCTCACGGAAAATTTTCTTCTTGAGTGGAAAAATACTGCGGCACTCAAAGAATGCTGAATCTCACAGATTGTGACAATCAATTGAGCAGCTGAAATGCAAAATTTCACACCTGAAGTGGAAAAAATAGAACTGTGAATGCTGAATAGAGAAGCAAGAAATTTGCATGGGAAATTATTCAACACCTTGTCATGTGCCAAAGTATTATCAGATGAAAATAGTCAGGATATGAAATATCCATCCACTATAATTGCATTGGATGTCCAAATAAATGCTATTGGAGATAATGTGCTATTTCGCATTTCCATAGCAATATTATTAACAAACCTTGCTTCTCTGTCGGGTTATTTCTATACAAATCCTCCGTTCGTTATTGTACTAAATTGAAATTGAAATTTTCAACAGAGAGTGTGATATTTCTGTATGCTCGAAATGACCAAATCTATTTTGAATGTTGTTTCCCATCATTGTCTATACATATTTGTGTCAGCGAATATGGTGCAAAATTGGATTTTCTCCATTTGTATAGGAAAGAGTCCATCAGCATTCGCCTGAAAACGTCCTCCAATCTGAATTGACTACTTCGGTAGTGTAATTTTTCCAATTGAAAATTATTCCGTATAATCACCGCTCACGATGGACAATAAAATCACTTAATGTTTTGTATTTTATGTGGATACAATACAATTTAATTGATCATATTCGCAGAGTGACGCTTTTGATTAAGTTGCAGATTCATATGCGAACGAGGCGTAACTCGAGTGAACATCCACTCATTTAAATGTAAATGTACTTCAAGTACTCATCGAGAGCATAAGATAGGCAAAACCAACTGCAAAAGGCAAACTGTACGACCAAATAAATCATTGAGAGGAATGAAGGACCATATCGTTGATGAAGGAGATTGTCGCTAACCAAAGTCAATTAGCAGAATCAACAGTGACATTAATATTCTCAATAGGCATGATTCTCACTTCTTCGCATTCATATAAAAATTCTTCTGTCTCTCTACAATAAATAATGAATACACAATATTTTATGCAAACACATAAAATAAGCTTTATGGCGCCATTTGAATATCCGTTTTCCAGGCGAATTTTTGGCGAAAAAGCATTCCGGTCCGATTTAATGGAAGGCAATTCGAATGGTTTTCGGATAAATTTCAACACACAAATGTATACCATTTATGATTTCCAGATCGGAAGGGAGATTTTAAGACATATATGTAGCTTTTATGCAAAATTTCGACTGCATATTTGCATGAAGCTCAATCTTCATTCCATCTAGCATCGAATGTCTGGCAAACATTCTACTTGGATTATGCATGTGAAGTGGCATATAAAATATTGGTGGAAAAATATATAGCGCGAATTTGAAATTTAAATCAAATAAATGTGTATTTTGCCATTCCTTTTGTTTGACATCTTATGTATAAATTTTATTCACCGTTTCCATTTTCTATGTTGTGAAGTGCGTGATTTTACGAATTTCCCATTAATCTGTCACTTATTTTTATGCAATTCAAATGCTGTAATTCCACACAATGCTGCTATTTTTGGTGTGATAACCTAGAAAAGGGTTGAATTGAAGCATTGTAGAGTTATTGACATATCACAATATTCCACTTTTACTCGTTAGTTATGTAAAAATGAATTTCACATATCAACCCATGATATGCCATTGAGACATGTCAGTTATATTTTTAGTGCATTGAACACTGTAATAGTGGTAATAGTAAATATAGAAGACAACACTTTCAGTGATGCATTCAATAAATGCGAATAAACATTTCTAAAATAGCAGTTTTTGTGAAATGAACAATATGAATTTCATGACTTCTTTGGAAAACCATTTAGAATATGCACATATTTAGTTGATTTTCCTACTCAATTAGGGGTAATAAATTCTGCGAATCAATTTGACAATTCACTCAATTCTCTTGGTATATCAAATTGCGGCTCATCTGAATAAATTGCTATTGATTACTGTTCGCACTCCAAATCAGAGTATCAAATCTTTCTTCACAATACATTCTCGTTCTCATTGAAATAGCCACTCGTTTAATGTGTGTGCGTGTACTGTTGGACAGATAAATACCCCCTTAAGTGTGGAAGAAAGGGAAAAATTTATATCAGTCGAAATAGCGAGGAATAAAAATTTCCGACAAGGATAAAATTAAGGAGCACTTTATATGTACCCATCCATAATTTATATCGTGTCTATCAAATTTGACAGTGAATTACGAATAAAAATGCCTCTGCCCACTTTTATGACAGTCATTCTAGGGAAAATTGTGTCAAAATATTTGCAAAAGGTAATGAGGGAAAATTGGTGGGCTTGCGAGAGGCTCTCCATTATGGAGGCGCTGTCAGGAGTGAGTGGGAGGTGGATTGATAATTAATTAGTGGGTGTAAGTGAGTGATAGGCCAACGCGTAATCTAATAGATATTCTTTCATCCACTTTCAGATCCCGCACTTTTGTTAGCATCATCATTCTCAAGTGGTTGAGAGAAGTGTTACCATCGTTCACCACCTCCTCAATTTTTCGGCTCATCACTCGTTAGCCCGCAGGAAGAAAAGGAAAGGTGAGCTCCACTCTTTCACGAGATCCCAATTTCTTTTGTGCCTATTCACCCAGTGATGTGAAGTCGGGGGGGATAAAAAATGGATATAGTGTGAATAAATATAAAACTTGACCCATTTCACATGGTGAGCAAAGTGAAAAGTCTCGCTTCTCCTTTTCCGATTTGCATACGCACTTTCTGCCATGGCATAAGGAGAAAAATGGCCGTGATAGGGAAACTTTTGATTGAATTACATTATTCCTGAGAGGAATTCTTATTATTTCTATACTCTTTTGGGCACAAACCTCTCAATTTCCACTTCATCCCTCTCCCACATCTCCGCATGTAAATTTAATACGGACGCCACAAGCGCTCTCCGGAAATCACAAATTTCTGCCACCACAGAAGGTGAAAAAGCACAAAGGACTGCCTAATATGTATAAAAATAGCTCTCATTGACTCAGTGTAAACTCAGGGTTAAACTCAATTCAATTTCTGCCACGAATATTTCTCTCGTGAATGAACCTTTACATGTAGTACTTCCAGTCAATGTGATGTTATCATTACTCATCAAATAATAAAAATTGATTGAGCCAAATTGGGTCAACAATTTCTGGGAAAATTGGGAGAGGAGAAAGGTGGAATGTGGCTCTATAGTGTGTACATAACTCGACAAATGTTCCATTTCACTCAAGCTAGATTTGCAAGTTGATAAAATTGGCTGTTCACGGCGCAAAGTCGCACTCACTCAAAAATAATACTTTTCTCAAAATTGCCTTTCAAATTGCCTCTGCAATCACGTCAGGGAAAAATCAATAGATTGTAAACTGTGCTTTGTCCTCTTTTTTCCTGTCAATACGCCTCAATATCCATTGCAAATATACCAGCATGATGAACTTCTGTACAGTTTAGCTATAAAAAATATCTTGGTTGATAGAATTAATTTATTTCCACACAGAGGAAATGACAATTGAACGATACGTTGTATACAATTTTTCTTGATAGTATAATACAAATTTAAATGTTAGGTGAAGACGTCAGTAAATGCGTTTAAACGTACGGAAAAACGTGTGAAGAAAGAGAAGAAAATAAAATCGTCATAATGTACATTTTACGACTCTTTTGAGCTCATGTTCAATGAACGAAATTAGTTTTCCTCACCAGTTTTTCCGCCTTCGTAATTCTAAGAGTTGTGGCTATGTTGAGTTTCAAAATTTACTCCGTCAGCAGTCGTAATTGGACAGAAGGAAGTGGAAAACAATAGAAACCTTGTCATATGTTTCATGTTTTAAGGCACTTTCACTATATACTGTATAAATAACTCTTGGCACAAGAGATAGAAGAACATCTAAGATCTTAATGTGAGATCACTCAGAGAATTGCGTATTCCTTCTTCTATGCTCACGTAGAATGAAACTTTTCCATGTGGAATAAATGCAGGGAAATCCACCTCACGAGAAACTCCGAAAGACTTTTGTCTTTATTTATGATAAAGCGTAACTTTAATGTGAAACTTTTTGTCTGAGAATTTTTATACCCTCACAAATATTAGTTTGGAAGTGAATACAAAAGATGATTCTACTAAAATCTCATATAACTTCAACTTTTCATGCACATTAACTTTTCCATTATTCATTTATTCGTCAGTTGTAGTAGAAAAGTTTTGAGAGTCCTTTTACTCCCTCATGCTGGATGATATAATGCTAAGGAGCAAAAAAAAAGTTCTAGATTCTCTGTTTCCACGCCCAGGACTTTTTGTCACTCACGATATGGCAACATTTGCACGCTTTATGCTTAATTTCTTTTGAATAGTTAAATTTTCATGCATGTGACATTTTAATGCATAGAGATATCACAAAGTTCAGGATGTGTCACAAATTATTTTCTCTTGAGCGCTAGTTTAAATTGTATTAAGTGAATAAATTATGAAATCTCTGTCGCGCGGATCTGATAATGAAAAAACTTTAGTAATTTACATATGATTATGGCAATTAATCGCCTCTGATGAAAATGTTGCCAAAACTTTGGGAACTTACTCGCCATTTGGTCAACCCAAATATCCTTCTCCAGGTTGGCCATAATTTTCAAACTCCTGTGCGTATAGAGGTAACATTTAAATTTCGCATTTTCCCCGCCCCAAAAAGGTCACATTTTATTGTTCCGAGAGCCTTTTCCGCATCGTGTACCTAATCAATAAAAATGTATGCATCCTGTCCGCCCGTGAAGCACAAGGTGGAACGAATGGGCGATAAATTGAGCCCAAGTGTCGTATTCGTGTACCGAAATTTCAATCTACATCATCCATTATAAATTGCATGACCAGAGCGATGGAGTGGAAATGCACTGTTATCATTCAATTAGGCACTTTAGAATCGCTTTTGATATACAATCGGTGGATGTAATCAAATATAGGGAGTTAGGTGTCGGATTAATTCGGCAGGCCCGGCAGCGATGATGGTGCGTGTAAATCAAATTAGCTGATATTAATAATAATAGAGGTGTGTGGAAGTTTGCTGTTTTAATTGGGCAAATGACAGCTGCAAACACCACGGCGTTACCTGTATTTTATATACATACACAGAGGCTAGATTATTAATTTCGACACTGTTCCATCTACTGCGAAAGCCAGTTAGTGGCTGCCTTTGTCGCAGGATGTCAGGCAGGTGGCCGGGGGTCACGGGCGTACGTGGAGCATTTTATTAGATAAATGGCAGGTATTATGTTTCCATGTCACAGCATGGAAATAGTGTGGATTGTACAAATTGAAATTATAATTCAGTACACTGACACCTCGTTTTGGACCAGATGAAATATGAAGAACTTACTCAGATAATTCGCATGAAATTGGGAAAATCTCCTGGATTACACGGTGCAATATGCTTTAGGAATAAATTTGACTTACAGTCACGATACTGTGTGCATGAAGTGTGAGTTTTTCATCGGAAATTATTGATATCGCCAAATTAATTAAATGAGAATAAGCAATGAATCCCGGAAATTGCGCACCCTCCCATTTCTGAACTTGTTTCTTCGAAGGACAGTAATAAAACATTCGTGTTAAACTCCATTCACGATAATTACTGCAAAGCATAATAATGGCGATGGCGAAGCCGTGGTTAAGTACTATTTTGACATCTCTCCATGAAGAGTCTGAAATATGACTGATATCCGCGGTGGAGGAAAGAGTTAATAAACGAACTTCTGTCACTGATTAGAGACTATATGGGTGGAAAAGTTTGTGGAGGGGAAAAGTTTGTGAAATTAACTTCTTTTTCTTTTGCTAATTTTTCATAATTACGCTACCATTATCTGGACAGAAGACACCATCAAAGGGAATTATTTGTTTTTTTTTGTCCGGAAGGAGCAAGATGAATTACTAATTATAACCCTTTTTACTGTCTACCCTTGCCACAGCGAACGATTAACACACATCCCCATAACGATTATGGAATTAAGTGGTTAAGTCCTTTCTTTAATACACCTAGATTTCCCCAAGTGCGCGCCATTTTATAATTACATAAATGGATGAAAATAATCTTTATATGGCTCGACGTACTCAAATATGGGAATTAAATCGCTTGGGTCACGATATAGATTTTTGCAGACATTATACGGACCGAAAAGCGCGGGTTCGGATCATTTATCAAAGGCACTTTTCAAAGGAGCAATTTTCTCCGTTGAATTTTGCCGCTGGTAGTTTTCCCGGCTACTCCAGCCATGAGCCAGGGGGTGGGAAAAGCAAGGGGAAATTCTGACAGTGGAAATTATCGTGTATTATGGCAAGAAGTAGGAAAAAATTTCTCATACTTTATAGAGCTTTCTCACGAAAATTTAATGATTTTATGACTGACCTCAGCAACACGTACACATGTATTCACATGTGGGCTGTAATACCAAAGCTCTTTTCCCCAATTAGAAATTGACTTTCACTCCCTGCACAGCGATAAATCCTCCAAGCACAGTGCATGTTTCCCGAGAGAAAAGTCGATTTGTAAGAGCAATAAATAATAATTTACATATTTGCATTTCAATGGGGAAAAGTCTGTTCAGAACTTTTCGAGATTTCTCCAACCGAATAACTTCTTCAAAAGATGCTCATATACTTTTCAAACTCACTGTCCTTAGTGGACATTGAGAAAAACGAGAATTTGAATCATTATGGGTTCTAGAGAGAAGAGAGGGTTCTGAAGAGGAAAGTTTGTTTGAGCGAAGATGAGCAAAAAATCGCTGAAAACTGCTCAAGATGAGTATCTGAAGAGATCAAATAGATAAAAGTCAGAAGCTATAAATTCACATTATGCGCTTTTCACACCAAGTTCGGTGGTTTTTTTTCCACTTCTGAAGGTTCACTGAGCAGAATAACCTTTTTGCAATTCATCGAGTTCATTTAGACATTTATCAAAATGATCCAAAATGCAAATTGAATGTGGTGGAATATGAAAAGGTATGCGAATATTGTAGATGTAAAAATGTAAAGTCACTGAGAAATTATTGAATTCGATTTTTCAATCGGACTCAACAATGGAACATAATGGAAATTGATTTGATTACGCAATTCTGTGAATTTTATCTCGCTCCAATACTAAAAGGGTTCCATTTATCTTGCAAATGCTGAATGACAATACAAAATTTATCTGCAAAAACTTTTCCGTTAAAAATAGCTTTTCTTCAAAATGTCATGCGTAGATTTGCTTAAAATGCCGCATTTCCTTCTCGGCAACCCTTTGTTCCACAGAAGTGTTAAAAATCTTCTGAGAATCTTTTCAAATTTAATCAACCTAATTTTATTTACTCAATGCTAGGCGGAATATGATGAAGATTTCCCGCCCCCTAATCCAGAACTCGAATTACCCTGTCTTGAACTCGGAAGCCCCCAAGGATGTGTCGCCCTCAATAACCCTTCTGTGCTGTATTAGTAGGAAAGACTTGTCGGCAAAGTTAAAATTAATCATGGTAATTTTTCTCAGCGTAACTTTTATCCTTGCCCAGTGATACTCTTGGGCAAATGCAAGAAAGAAAAATCTTGGCTAATTTCTGCTTAGCATTTTTTTTTTCAATGAATAATCAATGACGTTGAAGAAATTTTCATTGCTTATCCATCTCTCTCTCTCTCCCCGCTTTCAGATCGTGTCACTCTGATGGTATCGTGAGGAAGTGCTCTTTCGCCTGGTGACCCATGTAAATATTTGCTAGGAGTCTGGGTGGAGGAGGTTCACGCAAGCGGTTGCTGGTCTCTCCTGTGTGATGTCATACTCATTACGGCATTACGTCAGTTTTGCCGAAAAAGCGCCATCAGCAGCCACAGTCGCAGCAGGTCTCTTGAATCAACATCACCTTGTGACGCGTGTTGTGAGTTCGACCACCTCGGCGGTACGTGCCTAAGATTATCGGTGAAGTGCTGCAGAGTGACTTCCGTGAGTGTAAGAGTGTCTGTCGCGCCAAAAAGGAAGCCCTGTCGAGATGTGATTCCACCCCCGTGGATCTGCCAAGGGTGGACCAGGGTGAGAAATGCGCTGGTGGACGTGTAGTAAAAGTGCTATAATGTCACCCAGAGGGTGATGAAGACTTAGATGTGCGCTCTCAATCACAGACAGATCACAAGTGTGTTCCCGCGAGTCCCCGTAATCCACCCGTCAGCGCCTGACGTGTGCAGACCGACAAAAGTTGAGGGAATGGGGGCTTAATTGCGGCACCCACAGATCCCATCCTGTAAATTCACCTGCATGGATTCCACATCGACTCCCGCACTCTTAGATGATATACTGACCACAACTGCACCACTGCTGGCCACCAACGCGACCCCCTCGACGATCGCCAGTCTCCAAGCACCCCTGCTGCCCGGAAGCACCAACGCCGCCTTCAACGCCGTCACCACCATATTGCCCACCAACGGCACCGCCGTGCCCGAGAGTGACGCCTCCCCGATCGCCTCCATCTTCGTCAGCGTCGTGCTGCTGATCGTTATCTTGGGCACCATTATCGGCAACATCTTGGTAAGCAAATCTCACTCACCTCCGCCTATTCGATTTTAGTGGCTAAGCTAGGACCTTCGCTCTATCCATAGGTATGCATCGCAGTGGTGAAGGTGCGCAAGCTGCGCCGTCCGTGCAATTACCTGCTCGTGTCGCTGGCCGTGTCGGATCTGTGCGTGGCACTCTTGGTCATGCCCACGGCCCTCATCTACGAAGTAGTGGAGGACTGGCCCTTCGGCACCTTCTTCTGCGACATGTGGGTGTCGTTCGACGTGCTCTCATGCGCCGCGTCCATCCTCAACCTGTGCGCCATCTCCGTCGACCGCTACTGGGCTATAACAAAGCCCCTCGAGTACGGCGTGAAGCGCACTCCGCGGCGGATGTTGCTGTGCGTGGCGCTCGTGTGGCTGGGCGCCGCCTGCATCTCGCTGCCGCCACTTCTCATCCTGGGCAACGAGCACGAGACGGAAACGGGGGAGCCACAGTGTGCCGTCTGCCAGAACTTTGGCTACCAAATATACGCGACTCTTGGCTCCTTCTACATCCCGCTCACGGTGATGCTGTTTGTGTACTATCGCATCTTCAGGGCGGCGCGGCGAATAGTGCTGGACGAGAAGCGCGCCCAGACGCACCTCGACAAGGCACTGAACGGCGGCACGCAGCAGGAGAAGCCCAAGGAGCCAGTGGGCGCCACGGCGCTGATAGGGTCACCGCACCAGAAGAAGCTGCGCTTCCAGTTGGCAAAAGAGCGCAAGGCCTCCACGACACTGGGCATCATCATGTCGGCCTTCACGGTGTGCTGGCTGCCCTTCTTCATCCTGGCCCTCGTGCGGCCCTTCCTCGACGACAATCACCCCGTGCCCAAGACCCTCTCGTCGCTCTTCCTCTGGCTCGGCTACGCGAACTCCCTCTTCAATCCCATCATCTACGCCACACTCAATCGCGACTTCCGGAAGCCATTCCAAGAGATCCTCTACTTCCGCTGCTCCAGCCTCAACGTCATGATGCGCGAGGAGTACTACCACAGCCAGTACGGCGAGCCGGCGTCGCAGCGAGTGGTGCTGGGTGGCGAGGGCCAGAATGCGCGCGAGAGCTTCCTCTGAAATCAGGAGCCTTGGTCCTGCCTCCTGCAGGATCACACCTTCTAGGCCCGCGGCGGTGCGTTTGTGTGTGAAATACAGTGAAGTGCGTAAACCGGGCGGCGTCCCCTAATGTATACTTCTGTTTTATTACATTCATTTGCTTTCAAAAGACTTGTGATTTTCGTAAAGATTTTTTACAAAAGAAAGAAAGAAAGAGAGAGAAAGTTATTGAGGAATGTGTAAGGGTATATTTTTAAGTAAGAGACCGTGCAAATGAGACCAAATATGTTTCTATGGAGCAACACAATACACTGAATTTATTTGAATGTATAGTGGATGATTAGTACCATATGTGGATTTGATGTTGTACATTATGACGCGTGATGAGATTCTGAGTAACATAAGTCGCCCCTGATGACTACTGTACTTTTAATTGATAGACACCCAGTTGGTAAAGTATTGTAATTACAAATTTATATGTGTATATAGCAGAGGAAAGGAAAATCAATTTAGTGTATGTCCTCATAGTGAATGAGAAAATATACTATAATAATGTAGTCCTCTCTTCGTAGCAATTTAATGGACACGTCATTTCATAAGTATAGGAATTAACGGAGACGCAGCAAGTGTAGAATCATCACAGTTATAGATCGGGGTGGATCATTAAGTAATTATAAATGCTGTCTGGTCATTTTCAATATAAATTCCTCATTTTAATTATTATTTCACTGACCAAAATTCATTAATATTATTTTGTTATGCATGAGAAAATAATATAATCAGCTACCGCCCCTGTTAATATTACATCTCTTTATTTTCACTGGCATTTCCATCTTCCAGCAACAACCGTGAGTATCTCGTGACAATTCTATTTGAATTGTTAGTCGACGCATTTTAATCTGATGATTAATTTTATTAATTTTAATTTGGACAATGGCATATAGTTGTATGACTTTGTTATTACCAAAGTAATTTCAATCACAAATTACTCCTATTACAATCGCGTGACGTGTAAAAGTGTTCCAGCAGTTCAATTTGTATTTAACGCATTGATTTGTTTATTTTTATCTCAAATCTGACTGGAAATTTGAAGTGTGAAAATCTGACTTATGACTGCGGAATGAGTGATGTGCATAAAAATGCTGCAATGGATCATCTTGGCACTTTTGCACGTCACTGACACGAGGAACAGCTTCATAATAGAAAAATTTATTATTGATGACATCAATCAATGAGAAGAGATATAACATAGTTCCCTCCATATAAACCATAGTAAATAGTCATGCACTCATTCTGGGCGAAAAAGTGGGTTTAGAAGAGAAAGAGGGCTTTTGTGATATTTAATATGGCCAAATTTTGGCACTCAACCAGAATAGATTCTGCAAGGAGGAGAATTAATAATACTTCAACCTTCACTTAATGGATACTTTAAATGCTGAAAGAATTCTTATGCACGCCTCTTGAACATACCAAAAACTAAACATATTCACACACAACACACCCTACATATTATTCAAATGGTGAAAGAGTGTGTGAGAGAATTTGAAGCGTCCCAGCGAATGGGGATGTGCTGAAATTTCCCACAACATAAATCTTTCACTCACAAGAATTGCATATAAATCACCAAAAAAAAAGGAAAACGAAACCACCAAAGAAGGCGCTCTATTCAAGAAGGAAGAAAGTAAAACCTAAAAGATATCATGACTCTGGTGCTGATGATTATTTGATAGTTGGAATGGATAAAGTTTGATGAGGAGTTGTTGCATATTTTATTATAGAGAAATTTCCTTAGCGAGAAAAAAATATTTATACAAATGTATAATCCAAAAATAGTAAACTGTTTGCTTTTCTCGCATTTCGTTGCGTTGATTATCTCTGTTATAGTGTTCTTGTTTCTTCTCTCTATTGATTAATTTGCAATTCTAAGGGGTTCTACAAACTATTCAGAGAGAGAGACAAGGGAGAAAGGAATCGAAAAGTAATTGTTCGAGCTAAATATCTTCTTATAAACTCTATGAGGGAGTGTCTCCGGCATGGAATTGTATCGTCTATGACATAGGCATTATACCATTTCTTAGTGGAGCAAACACACAACAGCAGCTTTATCATCATTAAAATGATTGTAAGAGAGAAATCTTTTTTGTTAAGGGGAAATTATACTGTGACACATTTTTTCCACGCTATATCGTTAAGTTGTAAAGAAACAGTAAGTAAAACTCTTGTAAGGAATGTATGTAAATCCGTGACACGAAAGAAAAAAACTTAGCTTAAACTTCTCGAAAAGAAATACAGAGTAACTTTACAAAACACAACACAGGGGATGAATTTTAATGTAATGAAAATGCAATAGTAGAATATACAATTTGCCATAGAAGGAAGATAAAAAAAAACGTTAAAAACCACTAAATTATAAAACTGTCAACAGATTGTTAATGAAGAGCGTAAGAGTGTAGGTAAAGAAGTTTCTATTTATTCATAAATGTTCCTTTCAATTCTGGCGTTCTTAACTTTGACGTAAACAGATTTTAATTGTAACTACGTTTAGAATTAAAGAAAATGATGCAAAATCCGTATTTTAATTGTGACTCAGTGAAAGTTCCAGAACCTACGATATAACCTACTAAAGCAAAGCAAAGAAGAGGGAACGTCATAAGCAAATAAGAATTTGTGTAATGTGAATTTTGATTAATGAAGGAGACAATCTGAGCGTGAGTGGAAAGAGAAAAAAAAAACAATTGATAGACGTTTATAGTCATGTAAATTAATTTATTATTTAGTGACATGGAAAAAAAAGAGAGAGTAAAAGTACGAACGAGCAGAAGAAAACACAAAAAGTTAAAAAGAAAATTTAACAACTACGAAGTGAAAAATGAGGAAATCAAATAAAGTAAAGATTCTATAATACCATAGGTAAAATAAATATAAGTCTTGTTGAAAACCGAAAAAAGGCGTGAAATTTATTTCTTCCCTCTGGTGAGAAGTTGGAATTTTCACTTTGGCACCCTTTTGTGGAGTGCGTGCAAGCGGTGAGTAGATGAATGTTAACAAATTGCAGCGGAAGTGCTGGGAAACTGATTCAGATAAATTATGAAGCATGCAATTTTGTTGTACTGTACCTTGTACTTCCTTCTCGCACCCTCAGCTCATCCCACCAATTTTCCATGCCCCGCTTTCCACAGCACCAACTCTCAGCCCTCCTCATTGCATCACATATGCAGATCCCGGCAGGGACTGAGGAATGGCAGGCAGGAAATGTCGGTATAAATGCATGGATTATGTCGAAAGTTAGGGAAGCTCTTGGATTTTCAAGCAAACTAGCTGTGACTCATGCCATGTTTGCAGAATCCACAAAGAGAGAGTGAGTAATGATGTTTTAATTGCTGCATTCTGAGGTTTGTATTTGAATTTTTGATAAATGTGTGTTTCCTCTTTGTCAGCCCTTTTCCAATCCACATGGTTTCGACACCAATCAAAATTAATATTGTTCTGCATCAGTTGCCAGATATAATGAATCATTCTATCAGTTCATAGTAGTTCAATTATTCTTTGGTATTTCACACAGAAAATGTGAACAAAATTAGCAGCAATTTGTCATCCATAGAAACCAATTTTCTTTCCTCTAATTGTGTTTAGGATAGTCAATTCATATTCCATTGCTTAGATTAGACTTAGCTTCTGTGCACGCAATAATTTAATTTGATTGAAATCTTTTGCCTTTTCTGTCTCTCCATATTCTGGCCTAAGTTTACCGACAACCAGAAAATGCTGATGCGTTAGGGGAAAATTCTAGAGAACAATATATTTTTAATTCGCAACAGAACTCCCACCCCTGAAAGCTCTGTCCCCACATTCTAATCACATTTCCAGACAAACACTGAAAGGACAACTTTTCTTGCCTTCCATTCGCCTTTCTAGCATTTGCACATCTCCATCCCCACAGAATTGAAGGGTCTTTTCCTCTGCTTTTTCTTCCATTTTCATTTGCAAAGTCCACTCTTAATTTTTATTATGTTCCGTTGTCCCTCTGGGGTGAACTTTTTCCTGTGTTCTCAGTGGCTTCTCGTTTTGTTGTTTTTTTTTTTCATCCTTCTGCCCAAGTGGAGAGCGTCTGGTTGGGCGTCACACGCATTTAATAACGAAATTAAACAGTTTGGGAAATTGCGACGAAATGACGCGTGAAAATTAACGCGTCGAGCTTCCAATTCGACACTTGTGAATGCGGTGGGAAATGGGAGGGTACTTTACTGAAAACAAACAATTCGTGAAATTGGATTTTCATCATTGGATAATTTCCTCTCTTACTTGGCCCATCTTCATCACACGAACACAGAGAATGGAACAATAGAAACTTTTATTTGGCGTTAAACAATAGATATAAGTTCCACTATATCGTATAAGAAGCGTGCAATATTTGAATAGAAGTTGGCCAAAGAAATGGAAAGCTGACCAATGAAAAAATTTCCAATTTCCCAATAATAGGCAGCAATAGTGATATTTCTCCTTCAAATCTATGATGTGAAAATGAGTAGTTTGCACGGAATGTACGAAGTAATTTAATTAATACGGTGAGCATGTGTAATGAAATGAGAGAAGTTTATCTGCATAAAACAACATTTCGATGAATGTTGATTTAGTTCCCTATACATTTGTCAGTTCTGATTACTTTCTCGTAATAACCGATGGTATGTGAATTGAATTCTCCTCATGTGCTTAGAAGGAAAGTTTGTATTGCATCATAAAATATGCAAAATTTGTCGACAAATCGTAAATCATTAAAGTGGTGAGAAAACTTTTCCTCACACACCCGTCCATCATTGTGCTAAGAAAGTAGATAGAAATATATATACAGGAATCGTTAAAGTTGCGCGATGCTGAAGAAAACGCAAGCCAGACAAAAATTATTCATACACAATTTTCCTCTTATGATTCTCTATTCATACTTCTTGTATAAGGATGTATTTTTCTTGTAAATATTTTTGTTCTCTGCGCAAGATGTATATTCAATTTGATTGGAAGATGAAAAGTTCGAAACTCTGCTCTTGGGAGATATTTCTTCCTTGGAATCTCTGCCGCATTCGAAGAGTCTTTGAGTAAACAGCCTCGGAGTGGCAATTTTAGTGGAAGAAGAAAAGAAAACTACTTGGTTGGGCGTGCTTTAGAATTCAGTGCAGAAAAGATAAATGACGAATAATTTTCACAATTAAAATAAATATAATTACACGAGAAGAGCTTCGAATTTGTCCTTTTATTCTGCTTTTTTTTTAATTTAGCTTCGAGGATTGTTTTTATTTTCTCTCATCTATAATTAAATTATCTAATTTAGCGCAAACCTCTTCAGTGTTATGAGAAATGACATGAATAGAATATTATTTATACTCACTGAACATATGTATGGAGTTGGCGACAACTGATCCAATATTGCACACTCTAAGAACATAACATATAAAATTGAAATGATGTCCTCCGGGACTGGAAGTTGTTCTCTGTGTCATGTTAAGTGAGCTGAGCATCCATATTTTTTTTCCTCCTTTTTCAGCTCCCGCCAATCTCGCATGGCGCACAGACATGACTTATTTTCAAACGAGCCTCCTTTTCTGATGTCTCACATCACATTTTGAGCACAGCGAGGCCCTCAAGCAGCGCATATCATATTATTTAACGCGTGATCAATTTATTATAATTAAACAACATTGATTTCAGCCATTATTCACCAGGCCTTCTTGGTGTATCATGCAGAAAATGGGAGACTTGCACATGATGGGCAGTACAACATTAATAATTCCAATTAAAATTTCATAATTCATTGTGCTCGAATGAAATTTCTTGACCTGATTGTCTTCTACCCTCTAAGGCGCTGCTGAAAGTGGAGAGAATGTGGCAAGTCATAAATAATACACCTATTTAATTTTACACTCATGCTCATACACTATCACCTCCAGAGTTACGTGCACAGCTTTGTGGAAAGCTCACCGCAGTTCCACTGCAACTCGAGGGATAATTCTCCTGCCATTCTTTTTTTTATTTAGCCACGACACTCTTTGACGATGAAGTGCTCAGAAACTGGATGCAATGTAGTCTCTATACTTTTCACTGGAAATGCAAATTCATGTCCATCATATTCGAATAAAAAATAATGAAATATTTTCCTGAATACTTCAAAGATTGTTTCACATTTTCTACAATGTACGCATTTCCACACACCTATCAAAGATAGTTTCCAAGAAACTTCTGGAACGACACAAGATTCTTTGAATAGAAAGAACCAAAGCTGATTATCTACTGAAATATGTACTTATCTCTTGTTTACTCCAAGTCATCCACTCTTTCAGTACCTCTCAGTGGTTATTAGACAAGGAATCTTATAACGCTAAATTGCACGTCTGAAGTATGATAAAAATACAATTTAAGTAGAAAGAAAAACGCTGCGGTGAAAATTTAATAAAAATAGAAAACTTTTAATTAAATTTGTGATCCACTTTGCCTGATGGATAACTTTTCTTCTATCTCGCGTCGACTTTTTTTTTTCTTTTTCAGCATCCCCGCACGATGTTCCATCACGCGGATCGTAATAAAAAGTAAATATTTCCCTAATTTCATTTTATTTAAATTTCTAGCGTACGTTAATTGGTGGTAATGGCTCGAATACTCTCGGATCTCCTCGTGTTGGTGTTACACAATGAGCACGATACCGTGATTTTTTACTCACTGATGCCCAACAAAGGTTGGGTCAATGTTGTTTTCCCACCGGATATGAGAGATGAAAAACAATATTTCTTCCTCTTCCCCGTCTTTCGCCCGCATCTTTATTGCGTATACGCACAGTTTAGTCTGGCGGAGGGTTATTCATTAAAGCGCTGGCGAGGGACAGAAGAGCAGAGCTTTCATCTTTCGGATTATGTATGTCCACTGAGAATTACAGGTTGAGCTTGTAAAATGCTACATCTGCCTGAAACACTAAAAAGATGACACTTTATTGTACCGATAAGCATTACCCATTGCATATAACACATTTCATTTGATATGTGATAATTTCCTTTGACTTTGTGGCTGAAATACAGCTTTTCATTGCTTATCAATCCAATTTAAAACGTGCCACAAAAATAAAACTTATGATAAATATTAATAAAATGGTTGTGGCATGTAAAAAAAAAGCAATACGATAAACTTTACTCATCTTTACACTTTTTGCTACATTTCAAAAACCGCACTTAAATTCCCAGAATATTATTTATAAAATGTTAACTCTCGTCAGTTTTTTCGTATTGCTTCCCGCGGGAATTTTTCCACATCTTCAACAAATAGCTCATCATTTGAAAAAAGAATTTTTCAAATTGCTGTCTGGCAATTTTTGTAGCATTTTTAAATGTGAAACAAATCGATTTGAGTCGAGTGCTATAAATAACACGATGGTTCGTGTTAAATATAGAATGGATAAAAATATGAATATATTGCAGATAGAGCATGTTCACAGGAAACTGAAGATGATCATTAATCATTTTGGCCATCAGTGCCGATTTTATGAACTCCAATTAGTAAAAATAATATTGCGCTCTCTGATCCCCATTTTTTACTCAGAAATCAACACACACGACTCATAAATTCTTTAAACTGTAGATAAAAGAGTGATATATGGTAATTGTTTCAACAAAACAACTCAGGGCATTTGGGGAGAAAAGCATGTTTGCCATTATTATTAGGCACGTTATGAGTTCCTCTCATCTTCAAACGTCATATTACTACTTGTGCTCCACTTCCGATTTATTTCATTCAATTATCCGATTAGTTATGGCCACATGGAGAGTAAGAAACGTGCGGAAAAACTGAGTAATTAGTCCAATGCTCATGTCAAAGACCAGCAATTG